TTTTGATTTAGGAGCTCTGTGTCTCTGCTCTTATTACTTGGAAATTACAAAACTGTTTAACAATCAGGAACAAAAGCCAAAAGGGACAAAAGATTTCTCCAAGTGATCTTTCTATACAGAAATTTCTACACCTTTAGTGACATATAATTAAGCATTACAAAGCTGAATAAAAGCTACAAATAAGTTAAATTTTTCTCAGTACTTTTATTTTTAGTAGTAATATTAATAATATATTATATTGCAAGTGTTTTGTCTTTATTGTAAGACATGCATACACACTGTGAGACCTGACTCAGCTAAACAGACTTCATGCTGGCCTGCTAATGACCCAAGACTGATGCCTCCCCACTCCTTATCAAACATCAGGAAAACCTGCTCAAACTGCAAACTTTCAAATGTTAATTGCTAACTTGGTTAACAGTCCACACAGGGACATATGGTATGACAAAAGGTGACCATAAAACACCTCCCCCATAAGACAAACTGTGTTTGGAATCTTACCCCCTTGTAGCTATGTGAATGCCCTGACTTCTTTGTTTGGAGAAAAATGTATAAAACCTATGCACAATCCTGTAACAGGGCTCACTTCTCTTAGAGAGTGAAGTCTGCACATGTGTAGTAAACTCCTTCAGTTTTATCTTTGTCCCAGTACTTGGTATTCTCTTGCTGGCTTGGCATAACATTTTTGGAGGCCCCAGCAAGATACACTTTTACTCGGTGATGTCTGGCTGGTTTGCTAGTAGCCAAACACTTAGGCCAATGGTGCCAGAGAGAGGCCCAGGGAGGCCACCTTGACCACTTTGATTGGGGCCCTGGGGACTCAGATGCCAATGGTGGGGGGATAACAGAAGCTGCCACCAATACCTGAAGGAAGTTTTTCCAGTCTGAATTCCTCTGGAGGTCAGGTAGGAATTTTTTATTCCTATAACTGGTGTAGAAAGGATCTTTGGTAGGGCAGAAGGAAAATCAGATGTGACATTAATTTCCTTGCCCAGGGCTTCACCACAATGTTGGGGAGTCCAGCAGTCAGTTTCTGTGTGGCCATTTTGTGCACAGGGATATAGTCCTTGAAAATTTGTCTGTCTCTGTTTTGTGTTGTCCATCTGCTTGCCTGTCATACTTCTTGCCCTTCCAGGTCTCCTAAGAACCATGGGAACCAGACAATCTAAGTCCTCCTCCTCCAGTCCCCTCAATTGTGTTTTAAAACATTTTAACAAAATTTATATTCCAGAGAAGGCTATGAAGCCCTATAAAGGAAAAATTGTAACCCTGTGGGTCATCAAGCCAGGCATAGCTTATGTGCAATAGACCCTTATTGGTGAGTAAATTTATTATTTTACTTCCACTCTGCTGCCTCTCTGTGTGTTACTTACATCTTCCTTCTATACCATTTGGTACACTGGCCAGGAAGGAAGTAGCTACCTGACACAGCCTGTGTTGGGCCTCAACCCAAGTCCCTCAGGAGGGAGTGGTTGTCTGACACCTCAGAAGGGAAGAGGCACACCCTGGGATTTCCTGGGTTCCCTTCCTAGGACTCAGAGGCTAGCTTGCTGGCAGTGGATCACTCAAACCCAGAGCAGAGACAGCAGAAGGAAGGCAAGTGAATGAAATTATCTGTCTGAATGGTGAGATCCCCTGGGTTTCTCACTAGTTTGTCATGCTTTGCTTTGGCTCTTAATTGAATATTTGGGCAGATTACAGATTGGAGGCCTGGTTAACCACCCTTCTCTGCCATTTGTGAGGATTTATGTCCTCAATTTGAGCAAAATATAGAATGCTTTGTATTGTGCTTTGCAAGGGACCCCAGGGAGGGAATGTGTTAAATTCTTGTGTGATTGTGTATGTGAAAGAGATTCAGTTACGAGAGTGAGTGGAACAAGCTATGAAAGCCATCAGTAGCCTTGTCTGTGCACCAAGACAAAGTGGCAGGGGCAGTGTTTATGCTTAAAGATCCCTCCCTGAGTCGCAGAGCTTGTGCGTGGCCTGTTTCTGCAAATCTGTGGCCAGTGTCTAATATGAGCAAAATGGAACACTAATGCAACAGTGTTCCTTCAGCATTGACAGGCCTTAAACTGGGAAGAGACCTGATGGCCAGGACTGGTGAATGTGAGTGATACACACCCTTTGTTTGTCCTGCAGCACGGGGCAAGGAAATATCTAGGGATCATGGGAAATGCAAATACTAAACCAACTGTTCTTGAGTACATGATTCAGAATTTTGATAAAGGCTTTGTGGGGGACAATGGGGTAAAATTAAGACCAAAAGGTGCTCAGATAACTTTGTGAGTTATCATAGTCCCAGCTAAGCCAGCCTTACCCCCAGGGGGGAAAAAAACTCTAGACAAAAGAAAAGTTATCTCCCTTTGTTTTAACTGAGACTTTGACAACTTGGAGCCTTGTATGCTTTGTTTTGGGGCCTGAACAACCCAGCTTGGGAGCTCCTCAAGCCTCTGCTCTGTGGCAATCAGCTGCTGGTGAGAACTGTTTAGTTTTGGTCTTAGAAAAACTGCTTGCCAAATCTGCTCTTTTTCACATGGTGGACTTGCTCTCAGAAAATGTGACATCATTACAGGTAAATCCCATTGCTTCCTCTTTGGAGGAGGTCAAGTTGCCTCCCCTTCTTCTTGAATTGCTAAAATCACAGGTGTGGAGGAGGTGGGGACAAAAACAGGAGGAGAACCATGTGCCTTACTGCACTGGAGGGTGCAGATGGGAAACCATGGTCATACTCAGAGAATGGAACAGGGCTTGCACTCAGATTAGAAAGAACTAAAATTAAAAAAACTAAATCTTTAATGGATTAAAAACAGCTAGGAAAGCTCTGAAAAGCATACAGCCGAACAGAGAAAAAACACTTCAGGCTTTAAGAGCCCCAAGGCCAGCCCTATGTTATCAGCCCCATGCTGACAGCAAAGGTCTGGAATCTAAAACAAAGCCAGAGAAACTGCAACTGTGCTTTACCAGATATTGAGGGATTTTTACAAGAAAAATCAAGTTGCAAATTTAAACTATTTGGTAAATGTATAATTGTTTCACTTTGCAATGATGTTTGATTGTTGTACCCAGAAGAAATTTTCTTATACATTGCAAATTCCTAAACTGTGATTATAGGGTCAACTTGGTCTTTTCTGTACTTTGTTGTAAAAATATAAGGTTAATACTGTTACATTGACAGCCAGTCAAATTTTAAGATGTAACAATCTGAGAACAGAAAAAAAAAAAAAACACTTTAAGATTTTAACAACTGAAGTTTGTCATAGAAGGTTAATAGTAAATGAGAGAGGAAAATATTTGGAAAGCTGTGGGTAAAAGGGACATACTTTTAATAGGAAAGGATTTTTTTTTATGTTTGTCTTATTAGAAAGAGATAAAGAAAGAGATACAAGACCAGAAGGCCTAAGTATGTAAGAGAAGGTGTGTGGAAATGATTAACTAGAAAATATGTATGTTTGCTTGTTGGTTTCAAGTTTATTATAAAAGGTTTACATTTACAGTCATAAAGAGTTTTCATTCCTTTTGATTCTAATTCTACAAAAGATCTCTGTTAAATGACCCCTAAAAGTTCTGACTAGTCTTAACAAAAGAGATTTTAGGGCTGGAGATGTAGCTCAATAGTCAAGCACAAGGACCCAAGTTTGATCCCCAGTACCAAAAACAAAAACAAAAAATAATAAATACAAGAGATTTTATAATTCAGTTGGCCAAATATATTTGAGTGCATCATAGTTTCATAAATTGTTTTATATGTTTATCTGTGTCTGCCCAATTATTTGAAAAGTGTTTGTCCAATTATATTTCTTGATTAAAATGACATCAAGGATACAAATAATTCATTAATTTCTATAATCTGGTTTTATAAGTTAAAATTTTGTCAAGATAATTAAATATAAGCTCTTAGGTCTGGATAGACTCCTGTTAATTGTAAAAAGGACAGCTGCTCAGAAAAATTTATTCTGGTCTTTATTTACTAATGGGAGCCCCAATAGTTTTCATAGCCTTCTGAGAAGATATGCCCCTAATAAACATCACTAAATATGTTCTTATAAAATATTTACATTGGTTATCATTAAAGGTTTGGATTCTAAATATGTTATTGTGCTATGTTTATAATAGTAATTTTCAAAATATGATATTTTCTGTGGAAAAGTTATTAAGAGGTTTCACTGAAAAAATGCTTTTGATACTAAATTAAAGGGTATGAAGTGTCACACATAAAATTATGATTATTATTGTTAATTTTCTGATGTACTAAATGAATAGGAACTTTACAGGGTATTTATTAATGATGCTTCAAGAGGCAGGATATAAAGTTTCATGGAAAAAGCTCAAATTTGTGTAGAGCAAGTCAGATATCTAGAGGATTTGAAGTTTCCAAAGAAATATGCTGCCTGGGAGATAAAAGGACTCAAAAGCAGATGAGAGAATTTTTTTAGGGGTGACAGGTTTTTTTCAGGATCTGGATTCCAGGGTTTGCAGACATAGCCAAAACTCTATATGAAACTTTAAAGGGCCCAGAAGGACAGTAATTATAGGGTGAAGAGTAAGTGTCAGCATTTAAACAACTAAAACTATCTCTGCTGCCCCTTGTATCAGGAATCCTATATGTGATGACTGAAAGAAATCATACTGCTTTAGGGGTGCTCACTGAAAGAGTAGGTCCATGGAATCATCCAGTAGCATATTTATCTTAGAGTTTCAACCCAGCTGCAGCCCTGGTAGCTGCAGTGTGCTAATTAAGTAAACTGACAAGCTAACATTAGGAAAAATGGATTGTTCAGTTTCCCCATGTCTTTTAGAATTGTTGAATAACAGGACATCAATGGCTCTCAAATAATACAGTCACATAATATCAGGCCTTATCTGTGAGAATCCCCATCTATATTTTGTTCCAGTTAAAACCTTAAACCCTGCTACTTTTTGCCCTCGGAACCTGGCCCCCTGACCTTGATTGTCTCAGGGTCACCAATGAATTGTTCTCAAATTATCTAGATCTGCAGAAGACCCACTGCTTGATGCTGATTTTGTCCTGTTCAAGGATGGGAGCAGCTTCAAGGAAAATGGGGTACACTATGCTGGTTATGAAGAGATGACTCAAGATGAAGTGGTCCAAGAAAAAACCCTCCCCACTGGATGGTCAGCTCAGTGAGTGGGAGCTATGAGCACTCATACAGGCTCTCTGAAGGGCAAAAGAAAATAGGGTAAGTGTTTATACAGATTCCTGCTACTTTGCATGTATATGGCACAGTCTGTAAAAGTGTAGTCTTCTCACAGAAAAGGGCAAACTTATTAAAAATAAAAAGTAGTTAGTACAGTTGTTGGCAATGTGGGAATCTGACAAAGTGGCATTGCTCTGAACACCAAGAAGGAAAAAGATGCAATAACAAATGGCAATGCTAAGGTAGACATATAAGCCAAAAGGACAACTAAACAGAAACTTTAGATGATTATACCCACCCCTTGTAAAGGTTATAAATATGTGTTGGTATAGATTTGTACTTATTCTTGATGGCCTGGGATCTTCTCTATAAAAGCAGAGAGGGTTTCAGAGGTATGCAAGATTTCATTAAAGGAAAAAATTCCAAGGTTTGGTCTGCCTCTCTCCATAGGCAGTGACAATGGGCCAGCATTTGTAACAGAGGTTGTACAAGATCTAGCTAAACTGTTATACTGCTTATTGACCTTAGAGTTCTGGTAAGGTTGAAAAAATAATGAATCATACCATTAAGGGAGTATTGACTAAATATTATCAGATAACACCAGGGTTATGGGTTCATCTGCTCCCTTTGGCCTTCCTTAAGAGACACCCCAAGTCATACTGGATTCTCCCCATATGAGGTCTTATTTGGAAGGCCATCCTGATCTTGAGAGACTTTATAAGAAATTTATCTCAACTGGGCTTATCCAGTATGGAATTACACCTGTTAGAATTGGACAAAGTGTTCCAAAATATTCAAGGGTGAATTAGAAATAAAGAGGACCTTTCTGTGCTAACTCTTTCCCATCTGATAAAACTGGAGGACCAAGTTTATGTTAAAAATTGTAAAAAGACCCCTTGACAACCTATATGGGAAGGGCCATATGAAGCACTTATGGTTACTCCCATAGCTGTCAAGGTAGCTGAAGTTCAGCTATCACCATTCCAGAGTGAAACAAAATTCCACAGACTTTGACTCCAGGAGACAGCACACTCAAAGCCCTGCTTTCACCACACTGGAAGCTGGTGAGTTCATACATGGCTGAAGAATGAGGACTGCAACCAAGATATGGACTCTTATATCAAACTGTTATTATGTTTTTGAATGAAGAGTTTATAAGCCTAAAGATGATAAGTTTGATAAAAATATGTGACCTTTAAAACTGTTAGATGGGAACTGGAGGGACATCCCTTATTCTTCATTTTGATGCCTGTCTAAAAGAACTTTATGAAAACCCTGGTAACTATACTTGACTCTGAGGATTATACAAAAAAAGATGTAGGATCAGATAAGGCACAAATATGGTCAAACAGTTCTGTTGTAACCCAAAAGTATTGGCAATTGTGATAACTGTAGACAGGGACAATGTAAAATGTACATAGTCTTTAAAATTGTATATAGCTTGGCCTTGAAAAATAAGCTGATCACAAGGAGTAGGTTTTTTATATTTATACTGGGTTTCAGTCAACTGTTAGGCATGAGCCTCAAAAGTTAAAAACATAGATTCTACATATTAAAAATGTTTAAAAATATCCCCTCCAAAAATAGGGAAAACTCCTGCACTGCAAGAAATACAGAATATCCTAAAGGGCATCCAAAATTGTACAGAAGTAGATAGATATGATGGACTCCATTGATGGTACTTATTCATGGCTGCTATAGGCAGACTAGGAATTTGCCTCTGCTGAATTTGCACACCACTCACTGTGATGACTTATCAAGCAATTGACATTATGAATGGCCTGCCCTTAGAGCCAGTAAAGCTTACTATGTATCCTTTGCTCAACTACCCAATGCATATAATTAAGAATGGGACTTGCTTTCTTGGTATCCAAAAGTCACACAATGTCTTAGCTGTCTGTACTGATATTGTTGATTTGTCTTCTACCACTGGTAATTACTCTGCCCCCAAATGGAACTTTCTCTGTGGAAATGATGTTTTTAAGGTGATTTCAAAGTGTTCTACTGGTTTATGCGCTCTGGTGATAATAATCCCCAACTTGTCGTCTATACTCCTTGAGCTATGAGAAAGATGCCTTTACAAATTGCCATGACCCCTTACTTAAAAATTTGAGTAAACATCCAATGATGAATCAAGGATTTAATTCTAACTAAAACCAGTGGGGAATGTGAGACCTGATTCTGCTAAAGTGACTTCATGCTGGCCTGCTAATGGGCCTGGGACTGTGCTTCCCCTTCTCCTTATCAAACATCAAGAAAAATCTGCTCAAACTTTCATATGCTAATTGCTAACTTGGTTAACAGCCCACCCAGGGACAAATGGTATGTCAAAACGTGACCATAGAACATTTCCTGCATAAGATAAGCAGTGTGTTTGGAATCTTATCCCCTGGTAGTTCTGTGAATGCCCTGACCTATGTTTGAACTTTTTTGTTTAGAAAAACCCTATAAAACAACCTCAGCCCCTGAGCAGTTGCCTCTCTGAGCTACTTGGCTCTGGGAGTGCCATCTGGCCAGACTAAAAAAGGTCTTCTTATTGGTGTGTTCCTCTCCTGGTGATTCTTGTTCTTCCATCCAGCTCCCAGAGCCTTGCTGAGCTATAGGTCCCAGCATCGTGGAGGCCCTTTTGGCTGTTCATTGTTTCTGGAAGTAAGGCCCTGGGTCTTGCATCTAGAGCCCTCCTTGGGCTATAGGACTCAGCATCGTGGAGGCCTTTTGGTTGTTCATGCTCCACAGAGTGTAAGTGAGACTTTAGATCTTACACTAGGTTCCTCTGTTGGAGGCCAGGCCTCAAAATAAAGGGAGAATAATCAGGCTTACATACCTCCTGAAGGGATAAGATAGGTGGTCCAATAAAGTATAGACAGACATCAGTCACTCAGGTGGGTGACCAAGATCTCCTAATCCATCCCCTACTAAAAAGGTCTTTGTTCTTTCCATATACAATTGCTACATGACCTGCTTCCCCATTGGGTCAATATTACCTAAGCACAGGAGGCTGAGGCAGGAGAATTGCTGTGAGTTCAAGACCAGCCTGGGCTACATAGTGAGTTCCAGGTCAGTCTCAACTACATAGTGAGACCCTGTCTGAAAAAAACAAAACCTAAGCAGTTATACTTATCTTATTGGTTGATCAAAATTTTAACCCACATTGTACCCACCATGTGATTTTTTTTACCCACTTCATGATTTTGCTCTATAAAACTACCTTTGAGATGTGGGTTTGTTGGCAATCCATTTTCAAGTCCCCTCCTGTCTCTTAGGAGCTATATCTCTTAATAAAGTTTTCCTACTCTTAACCTCAGTTGTTCCTTAGAATTTATTCTTCAGTTTTGGGAAACATTCACTTGGTGTAGATGACATCTAGCAGGTTGGGAGTGGACTATATCCTCTATGTCAAAAGTACATAGGATCCTGGAGATCCCATAGGTTAAATTTGAGGTACTGTGTCTATCAACAAGAATGGGTATTACACTATTATACATCTTTTATTTTTTTTGTAATGGGGATCAAACTCGTCAGGACTTTGTGCTTGCAAGGTAGGCATAAGAACCATTGAGCTAAATTCCCAGCCCCTAAATCTTTCAATAAATAAAAATTCATCTTCAAAATAATTTTTTTATTTTATTTTTTGTAACAGGATCCCATTATGTAGATCTGGTTTGCCTTGTAATCACCACATAGTTCAGGTTGGCCTTGAATTCATGAAAATCCTCCTGACTCAGCCTCCTGAGTGTTGGGATTACAGGCAAATACTACTACATGCATAGCAAAGATTTTCTTGTTAAAACAGAACAGAACAAAAGGAAAAAGCACTTCACAAACCAACATGCATATAATTATTCCATCTACTCTCATTTTAGAAACTCACAAGGAACACTGATTAAATTTTGATTCTCCATTTTATAAGTGGCAAAAGTGCACCTCTGCTTGGTGAAGGATGACTCTTCTTTTTTGAAGAATGCAATTCATAATAGTGAGACTCCCCATACTGCCATAGTTGCAAATATCATAAAACAAGATAAATGTTACAGTATTTGTGAAAAACATCTACTTTCAAGTATATCAGACAGTGAGATTTACACTGTGCTAAAACATCATCCCAGTGAGAACACACCTTCTCAATACCTGACAATCAGCACCTTCATGAAACAACCAATCTATACAAATATGTACTAGGATACACATACACATATGAATTATAAAGGATGTTACATTTAATTACCACCAGTAGTGATATTCACATTTATCCACCTCCCCAAAAAGCTTCCCAAGAATACTGTCATAGTTGGATATATACTTTAGTACATAGAATATTATCTAGTAATGAATGTAGATAAACTGAAACTTTTAAATTTTATTTATTTATTTACTTATTTATTTGGTTCTGGGGATCAAACTTGGGTCCTTGCATTTGTGAAGCAGGAGGCAGAACCACTGAGCTAAACATACTGAGATGGGATAATCTGACACTCAATGACCTGGACTCCCTGAATTGGTAATGAAAGAGAATCTAGAAAAAATGAAACTCAAAATAGCTTCTCAGACAACAGCAGATTGTGCCCATAGTACAAGACATGATTAATAAATCTAACGCAGATGCAGATAAAAAAATAGAGGAGCTGAAAAACATGATGGAATCCCAACATAGGAAACAAATGGAATCAATAAAACAGATGCAAACAGATTTCTAGGAGATTAAAAACCCCACTGAAAGTTTATGCAACAGAATGAGCCAATGTGAGGACAGAATTTTAGATATACAGGATAGGATTGCAATTAATGATCAGGAAAAGAAAATTTTCTTAAAAATAGTAAGGAAACATGAAAAATCAATCCAGCAGCTGTTAAATGATACAAAGAAGAATAACATAAGACTTATCAGAGTCAATGAAGAAATAGGAGAGAGTGCAAGTGACATTAAAAAAACTTTTCACAGAAGTAATGGCAGAAAACTTCCCAAGCAGGGGGAAAGAACTTGACATACAGATAAGTGAGGCTTATAGGACCTCAACTAGCAGTGATAAAACAAACAAACAAAT